ATATATATGTATATATATGTATATATATATAATTTATTAATGATCTTGTTTTTTTATATATTTTTTCACTTTTAATTTAACAGTTCTCCATAGTTTTACTTTATGGAAGAAAAACTGTCTCGTTGGAATCTGCCTTTTTTTTTTTACTGAATTTTAAACACTGAATTTTTATTTGGTAAAAATGTGCCTGCAAAAAATTCGACTGCAAATGTGTTGACCTTTTGGTGAACTCAAGCCAAAGCAATCTACACTCGATGCAGAATTTTACCAGATTAAAAATTCAGTGCAAGGAATTCAATGTGTTCAAAAATTCCGTGTTTAAAATTTGGTGCTAAAAAATTCAGTATTTAAAATAAACGGTGAAAAAAATTCTGTGTTTAAAATTTGGTGTACCAAAAAAAGGCAGATTTCAAGGAGACACTTGCTCCAAAGTAAACTATATTACTAAAAAATGAATTAAAGAATTCTCTTTTCAGTACATAAAGTTCAACAGTTTTCTTTCTTTCTGTATAAATATGCTTTAAAAATATATTAAAAATATGTTAAAATGAAGGTTCTAGTTTGTATGTTTATTCATTAACATTTAAATATCTCTGCTCCTGAATTAACTGCTTGTAAAACAATGCAGAATTCTTTTTTCTGTCACTGTATATGACAGTGACAGAAAAAATAAATTTTAAGCTAAGGAACTGAATTTTCGGGCATTAATGTCCACCCAAGCATAAAACTAATTATTCAAGAGCACATCCACTACAAGCCATTCGAAGGTCTACATAAATGCCACATCCATAGAGTCCATGCAATGGCGTTTTGTTGCCTAAGTGCCCATTGAGTTAAAGTGCAATCAAGTTGTTGAGCCAGTTTGAGGGGGTAGGGGAAAAAATAAATAAATAAACCTTTACCTGCTGCAGTTCCTCTGTGTCGTTCACCTTGACAGGAGTGCTTTGGGGTACGGGGGGGCACTTTCCAGGCTTCCTCTTGGCCCTCTCAATCTGTGCATTGGTGAAATAGTTGACTGCGGCGAACTCGATGAGGGCAGAGAAGACAAAGGCGAAGCAGACGGCAATGAACCAGTCCATCGCAGTTGCATATGAGACCTTGGGGAGAGAGTGGCGGGCACTGATGCTGAGTGTCGTCATAGTCAGGACTGTGGTAATGCCTTTGACAAAGAGGGAAAGAAATTAAATTACATTTTGTGTGCAATGACAATTTCTTTTATCTTCCAAAACATCTAAAATCTACCATGCATTTGTGTTTTCCTTATTTTCTCCAATACCACTTAAAATACAAAACAAAATGTGCAAACAATTTCGCCTTAAGATATAAATACTTAGTAAATAGAGTCCACTGTTCATCTCAGTATGAATCCACCTGTTCTATGCAGGCTTGATTTGTTAGAAAACATTAGAGACCAAACAGGATAATTAAAACCAAGGATCCCGCAGGCATTTTTAGTATAAGTTAGGAGTGAGCTTGGTTTCAAAAAGGTTGTCATGGTCTCATCAACAAAATGGCTATCTCGACATGGTGAGTATTAACACACAAGGAAAGCATGTGTGGGGGAGCGACTGGGAGCTTAAACAGATATCCCTTCCACACTGGCCAAAAAACCTGTTTAAATCCGGGAACAATCAGCAACAATCGGGCAAATGAGTCGATTAGCGACCCGAGTAAAAATTGCCTTGGTTCTGATCGGCATGCTGTAGGAAAACCAGACCCAGATTAACCTGCTAAATTACGTGGGACCATTGAACGCAAGCAACGGATGTCAACACACCGCGCCAGTCGCATCCGATCTAAAAAGCCTAACCAACTCTGTTTACATTCCATAAACATGGTGCAGCCCTGTGCTTTAATCCCTGCAGTGTGAATGAAGCCTAAGTTGATCAGTCACTCAATGAGTCATGTGACCCAGAGCGTTGCTTTCCAGCTACCCTGAAACAGGACAGCTAACTAAGGGTAAATTTCCTGTAAGCCAACAAAACAGACCTAACCGTGGTCTGATCAGACAAAATGTTGGTTCTTTGATGCGGGATTTAATATAGAGGGGTGAATGTGGCCTTGAATTTACCAAGAACTCCATGACTTCTCAACCTTTTGATCCAAAGTGGTGTGATTGCAGACGACTAAACACGCAGGGGGACTGGTTCATTTTGCAACAGTGCAGGTTAGCTGGGTGCTTTCTGGGAAGTTAAACCCGGAAGTTACCGGTCCAGGGCCAGTAGTGGCTAAAAGTTACATAATGTTGTTTAAATATGAAATATATTATTTCTTATGTCAATCTTCAGCGCTTGGTGGGTATTAATTGTCCGTGCCGGGAGCTCTTTTCAAAAACCTGCCTTTGTAACTTCAGAGGGCCGGATCCATCACTGAATGAGTCATGTGACCCAGAGAGCCGCTTTACAGTTTCCTTTAAAAAGGCCATCTAAAGGGCTGTGAGCTTGTCACAGATATTTTTTTGATGATTTTATGTCCAATATTGAAGCGTGGTCTGCACTATGTTATTTCACGCCACAACGCGAGAGGGACCATCATGAACTAGCTGTGGGTCTAGATACGGCCGAGGAAGTGAGGGCAAGTTTGTCCGACAACGGAGGGTGAAAAAGAGGCGGGATCCAGGTGGAAAAGGGTCCCAGAGTTCTCGCGCACCTTGCTCTTCTAGCTGGTCCAACTTCGAGTCGTTTTCCACAATGGTGGTCATATAAACAAAACAAGCTGGTTAGGTATCAAACAGGACATACGCATAGTGCAGAGTGGATGTAGAACTATCATAGGCCTCCTGTCTACAGCATTGTCTGCGGTCACCTACAGTTTTTGAGAGGTGCAGCAGAGTGTCTGAGGCAGAGGCGAAGGCACATTTGCATTCACTGCGACACACACGCAGACGACCAGGTTTCTGAGTATAAATCAGCCTTAAGTCTGTTAAAATTCAACACAGATATGTCCCCTACCAGCCTTCTTAAGGGATGTTAAACCTGGAATTTAACAGATATGGTACCACTAGTGGCTAAAAATAAAACAGTGCTACTTTAAGTTAAAGAATGTGAATGTATTAGAACGGAAGAAATAGAGAGATATTTGTAACATACTTGAGGGGTTTAATGCAAAAGGGTTTTTAAACTAAACAGGTTCCACTCATTGAGTCATTTCAATATCAACCAATCATATCTACTGCTTCAATTAAACAATGTTGATAGTGAAATGAATAGAACCCAAACTCCTCTTGCAGTTTTTAGTACTGCAAATAAAAAAAAAACTCAAGAACCTGAAGAATAAACCATTTTTAATGTCACTTTTTAAAGACATATTATCAGATTACAGAATTTGAAAGTTACCTCACCTGTATTTCAGGTGAGGTGATTTGGGAATTAGGAGCAACCCAACCCCCAAAATTAGATTTGAATTGCACTGGTGGGGAAGATAAAAAACAAACAAACAAAAAAACAACATAAAAAACAATGAGGCATGTAGGCTTCAGCTCATAATTGCTTCGAACTGAACATGTTTGGATTCGGCTCCTCTGCATGTGCATATTTATAACCACATACATCAAGTTTTCAATAAAAGCAAATCCAGAAAACCAAATTAAAGAAAAAGCATACTGCTCTCAGTGTTGCTTAACTTCTATATGCTATTAGATCTCTCCGCAGATAGAAGCTGCAGCTTTCCGACAAAATAACACATTAAAAACAGAATAAAAAAACAAGAAGTGTTCAATAGCCCATGCATGTGCAGTAATGTTGCTCTCATCTGCATCTTTCATTAACAGACTGCAGAGCGATAATGAACCACTTTGCTCTTTGCAGCGTCGAACATGCACTAAAAGGACCACAGTGTTTATTTCAACATAAAGGGATGTATTTTCACAGTTTTAGAGAGACTATAGTGTTAGTAGATATGAATCATGCTTATTCAGCAGGTGAACAGAAGTTAGGGAATTTTGTAGAGATATGGGTCTGTCTGGACTTCAAATGGAAATATCTATAATTGCAGCACAGGGATCTTAAAAAAAAGGGACATTTGGATAAAACTAACTTTAATTAGAGCAGGGTCAGCTTAAACCTCCATGGAGCCCTAAGAGAATTTGATTTGAAGGCCCTCTATTTCTGCCGTTAAATATCTACTGCTGCAATCGGCAGTCAGATTATCAGATCACACCATCTATAAAATCATCAGTGCTGTGTACAGAATAATGAAATATGTATTTCTTCATTGGAAGTGTCATCTGGTTTATTATTTTTGGTTCTTCCACTAGCTCTACTTGCAAAAATAATAGAACAAAATTACACATTAAGTGTTAGATTTGTTTAAGCAACTTCAAATAACTGTACTTTTTTTTCATATTTTATCTCAAAGAGCAATTCTGTGTTTCATTAGGCTGAAGCTTAAAAATGTACTCTCACTCATAACTTTTATCACAATAATCCCAGTAAAGGTATTTCATCCATTACTGAAAGGTGTAAATAAAGGGTGAGAGGGAATTTATGGTTAAATATTTAATAAAAATGGATTGAAATCAGGAAATTTGTCAAATTCTGAGAAAAATTATTAATGTTGAAAAATGTTTCTTTCATTATAAGTCTTAAAATCAAATGACAGTCACCCCTGATTTTTTTTTTAATGTTTATTTCATTCTTATTTTGAATGATCAAAATGGAGAAGCTGATGCATTAACTCCTTAAGCCTGGCGGGTCCGGTACCGGGCCCAAACGACACCTGCTCATGTTTATCTATTAAATAACCAAAACACAGTCACATGGTGTTTCATCCACACGCCTTTCAAATAGACCTTTAACATTTCTAAAACATGTTCACAAATACTTTTTGTTTTATAGCTGTGTAAAAAAAAATAAAATGAGATTTAGAATTCCACCTGACATGTGTGACTCTGCAGGAGTAATGCTACAGCAGGTATTGTTTTCCGTCTTTAATGTGTGAATGCCTAGATGTAATGTACTGTAAAGTGAAGTTCAGGCAATTCACCTATAGTCATAAATATGTTAAAACTACTTTCATCTGTGCTTATTGCTCCTTTAACATTTACAACATTTTCCATTAAAATTGGGAAAATAAATAAATAGTAACAAAGTGTGCTAAATAACAGAAACATGACTTTACATTTTTTATGGCTAAATTTTTTACATTCAGTGCTCCATAGAAAATGTTTTTATGGAGACCTGTTGATGACTATGTGCATCTTTTTGCTGCAGTTGGAGTTTTTCTTTGACCTTCCTTACCTTCCTGCTCTCTCCACATCGTGACAAAATAAACAGGTCCTCATCCAGCCTGATGAGTTGAAGTGAATCAGAAATTTGGTCCCATATTGAAGCCAAACAATCCTGACTCATCAAAACTAGGAGCCTATTTGACCTCTGAAGGTCTGGCACAGCACCTGGCAACAGGCCACCATGGCAGAGCCTCAGCTTCACAAAACACAACTGAAATCATTTTTCACAAAGTCATGGCGGAAACAGAGACACCCTGTAGCATCAGACCTGACTGTGTGGGGGTGTAGGTTTCTCCACCAGGTCCCAAACCAAACGTACCGTTAAGATAACCATGAAAACATGATTCACCCAAATATAGGACTCCTGTGTCCATCGTTTGATGCCCATCACCCCATAATCTACTAATGCAGTATGAGTTTCAGGAGAGATCCGGATTAAAACATTTTATGGCTGCTCCTTCATCCCTGCAGCTGTTGAGCTTTACAATTTTAAAGAGTCTTACTTTTTTGGCAAAGCTTTCTACTCCTATAAATAGTATTTTGCTTTTATTTTAATGCACAGATAAACAAGGCACTGTTTTTTTCTTATTATTGCCTAGAATAGAAACCAAAATAAACGATCTTAAGTTTGCCTTTACAGTGCAATCTCTTATTACAGAATTCTTATTATTGCATTTAATTTTGTATGAAAAAGTAAACCTCTGTTTACCTGTCAGTCTGCTGCTAGTACGCCTTCATTTCCACAGTGAGAGACAGTAAAGGATATTTCTATTTTCTAACTAAAATTAGATGCAGTAGCTACTCTGTTGTGATCAGGCAACATGGGCCATCTGTGTCTGATCTAATGAGGCATAGATCCATCCCCACCCAACATATCATCCACAAGGATGTTCTTTTTCTGCAAAACGTGCCCTTCAAATCACAAGAAAATG